ACCCACCCATTCAAAGTGTGTTTAGGAGCTTTGGTGTGAGCCCCAGGTTGGGAGGGGGTGGCTGTGAAAGGAGCCCCACCATCCCCTCCTTCTCCTCTCGCCCACCAGCAGGAACCCCTGTAAATACTGTAAGTACTGTAATTTCTCACCCGTCAAAACCCAGTCCTCTTCTCCAGATGGTCCCTCGGTCATTCCTCAAGCTGAAAAAAAAAAGCATCACAGAGGTAGAATAGGCGCTAAGAAAAAACAGCTGTGGCAAGACTTAAAAAATTAGATATTTTTTTTTTTTCCCTTACTGGAAGCGTTGATGTAAAGGTGAGAGAGATATTTATTTTTCCAGCGTGGTGCACCTCAAAATCCCCACAACCACGATGCATCTGACTGCAATAAGGTACGAGTAATTTATGTCACTAACCATCCTGTTCACAGTCCACCCAGTCGCGCTCTCTCCTGTGTGTTGCTGTAAAGTACTTGTATATAGGATTGAGAACTAAAGATATTTATTAAAAGTTGATTTCTTGATAGTATTTTATGTACTAAATATTTACACTAAGGGCAGTTGGCTATTCTTTTTTGCCAAGGTAAAATAGAGAGATGTAATTAGATACCTGTACATGCTATGTCATATGGATAGAACAGAAATTTAAGCTAACTAAACTACTGTAGAGAAATTGTTGATCTTATTCTTTAAAAAAAAAAAAGGTCTTATGACAGGTTTTTTTTTTTTATTACAGGCATCTGTAATTTCTAAATAGGTTATTAAAAGTTTTCACGTGCAATTTTTGCTTCCCCATTAAAAAAAAAAAGTCCCCGTTGATTGACCCATTTAAAAGAACAGTGAAACAGTGGAATACCTACCTCCCAACCGCCGGAAAGTAGGGTAGGACCACAAAGATTAAATTCTGGAAGTGCCTGCGGTGATTCCGTGGGATCAGGAGGAGAAAATAAGGATGGGAATGTTGTTGTGGGAAGAGTTTGGAAGCAGCGAGGGGGTGGGATGGTGCTGCGGGGGGGATGTAGGGCTGCGGGGGGCGTGACCAGACCCACTGAGGCTTCGGCTCGACACCCCCGGAGCATCACCAGGGCTGAGAGATGCCTCTTCAGATGGTACAGACAATCCCTGAGCCCCACACAGACAAATAAAAGGTGTGTTTTGTTTCTTCGAAATTCCCCCGGAGTCAAATTCTCTTTTCTCTCCCTTCTTTCCTCTCTGGCGTACGTACAGCGTGGGTGTAGATAATCCTTGTACCTCTCCCGTTTCTCTCCTACCAAGCTGATTGCTCTGGCTGTCAAGTGTACACTACTGATGCTGTTCGTTGTATTGGGGAGCACGTAGCAATAAAACCTTTAACACAACGAGTCTGTCTCTCCTTTGATTCACCAGGGAGGGTATATTTTTTTCAATTTTTAAGCTTCCTCTTTTGTAAAACGAAGGGCCTTCACATCCTGGGCATGACATTTACTGCCTTGGGGGGAAAAAAAAAAGTTAATTTGAATTAATTTTTTTTTTTAAAAGCAGAGGTACTGCTTTTGCCATGGGAGAGCAGGGGCTGCAGAGAACTAAGGGGAAAGGAAGGAGTGATAATATTAAGAGGCCGAATTTCCAACCCACTGCTTTGACCAGAGGGGTTTGTGTCGCTCAGTTTGGCTTCAGGTCGCAGCTAAACCTCGTGTTTTTACCACATTCTGCCAAGAATTGTGTCCTCTGAGTGTGTTCTTGACAGCTGTAAGCTGAGCAGGCAACTCAGAAGTGTCTGTTGAATTCACATTGGTGTTGAGAGCACAAACACCAACATTTCATTAGCAAGAGGTTTAAAAACATTCTAGGATTTATTTAAGCACCACTTGAGGGTGCTAAAAAGCTCTATTAATCAATAATTAACCCTGTTGGGGTAAATGGCTTGCGATGGGCAGTAACAGCTGTAAACTGGGCTGGTTTCCCATCCTGGAGCATCTCTGGGAATGGCAGCTCCTGCCAGGCAGCAATTTTAGTGGGAAACAGCAACATTACCAGCTGAGAGCTGCTTTAATCACCAATTAAAAAAATCTGCAGACCAATCTCTGGGAATGGCAGCTCCTGCCAGGCAGGGATTTTAGTGGGAAACAGCAACTTTCAGTATGTTACCAGCTGAGAGCTGCTTTAATCACCGATTAAAAAAAATCTGCAAGACCAGCAGGTAGTTTTTCATGTAATAATTAACCCTGTTGGGGTAAATGGCTTGAGATGGGCAGTAATGGGAGCTGTAAACTGGGCTGGTTTCCCATCCTGGAGCATCTCTGGGAATGGCAGCTCCTGCCAGGCAGCAATTTTAGTGGGAAACAGCAACATTACCAGCTGAGAGCTGCTTTAATCACCAATTAAAAAAATCTGCAGACCAGACAAAATTCCATTGTTAACTCTTTAAAGAGGTACCTTTGAAGAGACCTTTGAGCCTGTCGTCATCTGAATCGCAACGAAGGCAGAGATTCCAGCAGCTCCGACGCTCAGGAAGGTGCCAACCATCTATATTCAAAAATGGAAGAAGTCCTTTTCAAGTTTCTAAAATGCACAAAGGGAGTTCAGGCTTCAGTAACCTGATATTAACACGGTGCAAAACCGGTCAGGTGTCTTCTAGGAGCTTCAGGCTTCTATGTACTATTCACATGTGGGGTTTTTTTCCTAATTCCTGGAAGGGGGACTGTGCCCAAGGTGGGATCGCATGTGGCAGGTGTTGTGTGGGTCAGACCTTACTCACTGCAGTGAAAAGGGGGGGGAAATCTTCATTTTTAGTCCCTGGGGAATGCCATTTCTTTTGGGTACAACGCCCAATGTTCTAGCCTGTTATTTTTACCTCTGCATAACATAAGGAAAGATCAAAACCCCTTTGAAATCTGACGGGTGATGGATCCAAATGTAGGTGCGTGTGTGAAAGAGCAGTGATTGACTCCATAGGGAAGAGTCACGGCTGCTCCTCTCCCTCCTTTTGGGGTGACTGCAGGGGCATTCATGAGATCAAAACTACAATAGCACATTTTAGTAAATTGGCTCTACGTGTTCCGTGGTACAAGGATCTAGACCCCAAAATACCAAGACTTCTATGCTGTGATCACCCTCAAAGGGGTGTGAGGAGATCTCTTGCATCCTCCAGCCAATCCCAAATGAGTTAAACCATCTCCAAGTAACACATAGACCTTCTTAATGTATAGACTAAGGGCTGTGTTTTGGGGCCTGAAACCCAGCTGGTCAGACTGAAGCCCAGCTGGGTTTTGAAGGTGCTGCTTAGAAGCACCTGGGAGCCGCCCGGAGCAGAGTCCTCCCAAAGTCTCCAATTCTCAGGGTTTTTCCCCCAAAGGGCAGGGAGCACGTCACCCAAAGTGGCCTCCAACCCACCACCAAGCCCCCTGTGTCCTGGGAGAGGAGTGAGGGCTCCCAACCATCTCCAGAGCACTGTCAGCATCCCGTAGCACTGACAAATCCCCTTCCTAACAGAGCCTAATTTCTCGTTAACGAGCACAAAACCATAAGGAGGGTTGGTGTTTCAAACCTGGCCACCAGGAGGTGGCCTCCCTTCAAACCAGGAGGGACCTGGGGGGTTGTTGCCCAGACCCAACTGAGGGATCACACCTGGGGACCCACTTTCCACCCCAGTTCCTCGCTGGAGCCCTAGCACATGGCACCAAGCTGGGAGGCAAAAATGTGACACTGGGAGCAGGGAGGTTCTCTGCTCTGGAGGTTCTCCACCTCTCCAAGCAGGACAAAGCAGCCTTTGCTGGCTAGCAGGAGAGAGGAGGCACTAGCCCAACCCCACAGGGCATTAATAACACCCCAGGGCAGGTAGCCACCTGGCACTGCTGGGTCTGTTCCTGGGGCAATGGGGGGGCAGTGGGAATTTGCAGAGAAAGCGAGTGCTGTACCAGCAAGAACAAAATTTCAGTGCTGCTCCAAGCACCCAGAGCCCCAATTGCTGTTGGTTTTGATGGAAAATGAGTAACCCTCGCCCTCAAGCAGCAGGGAAATACTGAGCAGTCAGTTTTGTACTGACTGAGGGAGAACACGAGATGTATTCCTCAGGGATGGATGTGTCCATGCTGCAAATAGGAGAAACCCAATAAAAGGAACAATCTACAGATCGGAGTCAGTCTGCCCCGAGTGAGGGTAAGCACAGAAAAGAACCCAAAAAACATGTTTTTCAGTTGTAGCAGGCTTCAGCTCTGCGTGTGGCCGTTCCTTCTGAGCCACAGTCAGTGGGTAAAACATCTCTCCCAGTGAGGAATTAAGGCAGGAATGAACGAACGCGTGCCTACACCCCCACCCAGCCGAAGGAGCCCCCCCCATGGCTGCCCAAAATGAAGCCCAGCAGGGTTTTTTTAAGATGATGCATTTAGAAATGTGCTTAGCAGCATCCAGGACTTACCTGCAGCCCTGACGCAGTCTCCCTGCAGACGAAATGCGGTTTTGGAGGCTGCCCAGCAGGGTGGCACCTCTGGGTACCACAGTCAAACGCTGAAGGTCCTGGGTGTCTTGGACCAAACTCCTCCACTGTCCTACATCTGGCATCCCAAAGGCACGTGCATCATCACTGCTGAGCCACCCCAGCTTCTGAATTGGGTTCCTGGAAGTAACGTTTCACTCGTTTCTTTCCCTCCCTAAAAAAAAAATCCATCCTCCCCAGAGCCCAACAACGCCATCCCAGGCCCCATCCCTCCCAGCCCTGAGCAACCCCTCGGGCTCCAAACCAACCCCCAGTTCCAGCTATTGGCTACAGAAGATTGCTGTAGCCAGAAATAGTTGCCTTTTAAATTCTCATCTAATAAAAGACAGAGAGAAAGGGTGGAAGGAGAGGACAAAGTGTAAAAGCTGCCCAGTTCAGGTTCTAAAATGCCATTAAACACACCTTTCCCAGCACTCACTCTCTTCTGGCAGCTCAGATTGTGCTCGCTGCCCCCCAGCTGTTATCCCCAGGACACCCACTGCCCAGAGACCTCCCAGAGATCAGAATTCCCA